GTTTCCAAATCTACACATATATACAAATTTTATACACACACACACACACACATATATATATATATATATATGTTTGTTTTATTGTTTATTGTTTACTTACATAAATAAATGTTTATATACATAAATATGTATATACATATGTGTATATATGTATATATATATATATATTTATATATATATGTATATGCTTACTTAGATATATGTTTATATACATATATGTATGTATGTATGAATATGTATATGCTTTCTTAAAAATATGTTTATATATTTATATTTATATATAAAATTATGTATATATATATATTTATATATGAATAATTATATTTATCTATATGAATAATTATATATATCTATATGAATAATTATATATCTATATATATATATATATACATATATATATATTTATATATATGCGAATATAAGCGAATATATATTCTCATTCTGATTCTAATTTATTTCTCAGGTATCGGATACGACGGGTTCCCTACATACGCTGGCACAGACAGACCAAATATCGATTCAGGAGAAAGTTGCAACATAACATTTGACGACACTATAGCCGCAGACTCGCCGTTCAGAACGGCAGGCTTTGTGACTGTTTCAGATTACGATAATATCTTATTCGGCGGACTTCCTTTGTACTTCTACGATGGGGATATAGGCGGTAAGTATATATACTGTAGTGTATTACCTACTCATTCTTTTGTATACAAGGTATATGCCCAACGTATTTTTCTACATAGGCCGCTCACTTTTGTGTGTGTTTGTATTTTCATGGTTTCAGATTAGATTCGAGAGCATATATTTGTAGTTGATGTCGACGTATTTCACGGGTCTATAGTATACTACGCCCTGCCTTCAAAGCTCACATGCACAAATAATGGTATATGTGTAATATGTTTTGTCCCCTCATCACGAAACAAACTAAACTGGTCTCGAGTACCATATGCCAATTTATCTACGTTACACCGTTGCACATCGTTTACATACTCATTCTTGTCTACTCAGTTTGAATCCAATATTGGTACCCACGGTCGACCGGTGTACTGGGGCACGAGCATACATGCGTATTCTTGTGTTTGTCTCGCACGCAAATCAAATGTTTATTTATTCGGCTGCCTAACTCAAAACATTATGTGCATCAATTACCAGATTGCTTTTGGGGTCACATGTACAATACATAAGTGTACATTACGTATACACACAGCATATGCAGTTCTCTTGGAGTCACCTTTCTTTTTGTGTGTTCTAAACCTTTCTTGGAAGTCCGGTTGACAGATGTATAGATTTTTGTCTATGCTATGCTCATTTCTATGCGTCACAACATCAACACGTGTATGTGTAGTTTTAGGCTTGTAAAAAAGTATCCGTTCGTGAAGACTCATTTTTCCTGCCCCTGTACATTTTACCTACACAGGCGTACGCCCTGAGTTGGATGGCCACAAGTGTGTGGGGGTTCTACCCAGCACATGGGCGAGTCTCGGTGTGGATGCCTGGGGACAAACGCTCCCGGATTACGTAACACCTGAACCAGACTATCAGAATATGATTGTATTTGCCGACGGCGATGTGACCTTTGAGTACACACTGTTGAACGATACACTGCAGGCTAAGACTACCATTGTGAACCAGGAATGTGGCTGGATTGGCACGGGCTTTGGGCCGGGAGGCATGGTAGGGTCCAGTGCGGTGATAGGCCAAAACTCGGCGAACGGTACTGTGGAAGAGTATTTGCTGACTACGAAGAGTGCTGCTGGGGTAAGCCCCTCATTGGTCAACTCTGTAACCAACGGGGTGTTTACTCCGGGAGTGAATTCCACGCTCCGGTTTGAGATTCCTGTGGATTTCTGGGAGGGCGGTCTACTCCCGGACGAAGATAATTTCCTTATTTGGGCATGGGGAACGTCGGACTTCGTGTCTTATCACGACAAGCGAGCGGTGGAAACTGTATTTCTCAACCAAACCATTGTTGTGGTGGATAACACTACTGATGTGAATGATACGGACAGTACCGTTACGGAAGATACGGTGATGTACGCAAACAACTACACCTTTACCAGCGCCCCGATTATACTAGAGTACAACTTTACGGCCGATAGTTTCATAGCACGCGCGACTCTCCCGGGTCAAGTCGGATGGTTTGGTATTGGGTTTGGTGAAGAAATGGTAGGTAGCTCGGCTGTGATTGGCCAGATGTCCACCGACGCGGAGGTTCAAGAGTTCCTATTGGATGGTAAAAATAGCGCAGGAGTGCAGCCCATCGCAGTCAGTGGTGTGACTAATGGCAGCTTCAGTACCGATCTGGATGCGACTGTGATGGAGTTCACTATACCGTTGCAGTTTGGCAGGGCGAATATCACGGCCAATGCGACGAATGCTATGATATGGGCACTTGGTACATCCGAGTTTGTGTCGTACCACCAGGCCAGGGGACAGGAGAGTGTGATGCTGATGTCATCCGAGTAGATGTGAACCAGGAGTCACTGTGAGAGCGGGGTTCCTATTTAACATTATATATATATATATGTGTGTACAGGTATATGTAGATATATGTGTAATATTTCTCAAATTTCTATATGAGCGTAGCCGAACCGAGAGATTTGGGGTGGCTGATGTGAATCAGAGGTTGTCTCATACCACTAGGCGAGAGGATGAGAGAGATTATGATGCTGTTGGTATCTAAGAATATGTATAAATATATATATTTATATATATATACAGACCCACGTGCCCTATCGAAGTGTGTGGAAGTGAAACCCTCTTCATACCAAACTGTGAGGGCAGCTCAAATCTGTAGTATTATTGCAGGTGCAATGCATACACCGTAGTAGGCATTGGATTACATCTGGTAGTTTGAGTGCCAATATTCGAGGAAACACCCCCGGTTAATTAGCATGTCGTCTGACAACTAGACCCTTAGAGATAGTATAGATCCGCTCTTGTATCATTGTGAGGGCCAGTTTGCTATTGTCGCGTCAAGAGAGTTTGTTGTTAGTGTCATCCGAGTGGAGATGTACACATGCAGCAATGTGAAGGTACGGATGGCACTGAATTTTCGATCTCTAGTATGATATGCCGGCAAACACTAGACGGATTATTACCGTACGGACCCGACAAATGTTTTTCAATAAAATAGACAACACGTCGTAGTTGTACTTGATACAATAAATATATACTTGGATGCTCTTACGTTTGAGTCTGCTAGTTGACCAACCTTGTATATGTGCCATTTACGGTTTTTGAACTTACAGCATAACTTTTCTATTCTATATGTACGTCGCCGGAAGACCAGAATCATGTCGGGGCCACGTTCGAGCGACAAGAGTATTTGTTACAGTCTGCCGTGGGTTGAAATAATAAAACGTCTCAATTTGCTATGTCACCTAATTCAATACCGTATCATATGTAACATCCTGTCAGCGAAAGTTGCGACCGAAAATATTACTACGGAAGCTATTCATATGGAACAATACAGTAGCATAGAGACATAAAGGGAACGATATTTGCCTTTGATAGTAGAGTAGAGGAACACAATAGCAGTACTACACTTCTCTAGTTATCAAGTCACAATAATGTGAAACTTGGTATACGGTTCCTACCACAAAAATAACCATATGAACTCGACGTCACAGTATGGAGTAAGAACAAATATAGTCATATAACGAATACGGGAAAAAAAAAATACACACACTCACGCACATGCG